CACAGCTTTTAAAGTTCATTTATTTGCAAGCAGCCAAACAGCATACTCTGGGTTGAATCCTGGGCCAATTTACAGTTACGCTCTATGCTGCTCCATGAACGTTACACAGAATTACACAACTTGGGAATCAATAAATCCATTGCCTTGGAAAAATTTTCCCAAAGGCTCCTGATGAGTCAGTGGCAGTCAGTTTAGGTCTCAGACTTTGGTTTCCATTTTGTAGCTGCTCGGTCCACCAGATCCTATTTACACTACATCACCAAAAATGTTTTTATTTCTGTCCTTCTGAAATCGTTGTTTGTTTGGTTAGGTTGGTTTGGTTGTTTTTTACTGGAGGAAGAAAATAAATTAAAAGCTTCTTAACAATTACAGTTGTGATTTATTTTTTTTAACTGAGAACCAACAAACTATCTTTCTCAGCAGAAACAAAGATAGAAAGCCTGATCTCTTTGAACAAAATGCACAATAATCCAAAGGCCTACATAGAAAAATCACTGTGCATGTGCCACAGTTTTTACATCTAGATAGAGAAAACCTAATAGTCTACTTTTAATGACTTTAAAAATCCTACATGTAGTCAGTGAGAAGTGAAAGACTATAAAATAAAACCTTCCTTCAAGGAACAACTTGACACCAGCCCTTAGTCCTGCAAAAGATCTGCAAAAACTGAGGCTATTTTGCTTGAGTAAAAAGAATTTTAATTGAGCATAAACAAGTGAACAGCAGGCATGTGATTTCCATAAGTATGCAGGATTCAAAGGAAAAAAAGATTTAAAAATCTGAGACCATAAAACCAACTTCAATTTTAAAAGTTTTAGGGTGTACAAAAAGGTACTGTGTATGTGGCAGGCTTTTTTCACTACAAATGGATTCTTTAAAAGAAATTGACACTGACAAATCATCACTTATAAGAACTGTTTCCAATAAGGCAGAAGTTAAGTTATCTAGCATGGCATTAAAGAACACATTTAATTTTAAGTATGCTTATAGTTTTATTAGAGCAAATGGCTTTTTCCATGCTTAAGGCCAAGCATATGCTCAAGTACTCTGCCGAGACAAAAGCTTACAAGTTTGTTGTTTAGAATGCAAAGCGAGGCTTTTTATCCCAAACCACATTTTCTTGCATGTAATCAGCACTGATGATGCCGCCACGGTTTCCAATTCATTCCAGGGTGTACTCAGCATTTATTAGGGCACAGATGGTGCTCTCTTTCTTTGGCTTCTAAAGAACATGCCTAAATATTAAAACAAACTTGGCTATCTGCCTCTTACACTCTGTATTGCCACAGTAAAAATAACAGTAACCTTTGATCTAATCTGGAAGCCTTTTCTAATTTACACACAAAATTTGGCAATAGCATTATCAAGTACAGTCAGCCCACTCGAAACCGGAGAACCTGGTATGCATAAACCCAGCAGGTTAGTCACAATCGATCAAGAACGGGAACAAGCAATCCACAAAACAATCAAAAGAACAAAAATCGGAAGGAATTTTCCTACTAACAAGCTACACGATCCTGACTGTACTCGATAGCTGTGTGTGAGTTTTTGGAACTGTAAGGATTATTCAACAGCTTAACAAGCAATTAGCAAAGAAACGGGCTGATTTGTAAGGCAAATAAAGAGCATTAGCATGACAGGATTTGTCATAACAGCGAGCAAGGTCTTTTCCCAACACACTCAATGCCGCAACTTTGCATTGTGCTGAGAACTTGCAGTGTTTTCCCCTGTGGGCAGCACAGGACGTTTATTTCCCAAATTCTGAAAATTATTCACCCATTTACGTGGAAGCATAAAGCAACCTCCACAGAGACCCAAAAGAAAGACAAGCTGTCAGACTATTCCATTTAAAATGTCCTAAGGCCAGATAATGTCAGATTTGTCCAGCACATCTTGACAAAACGTTCCTGAACGTGCAGCTAACTGGGACGCAGGTGCACATGATGGCCAACAGGTCTTAGTCACCCATCTTCACAGGCTTTCAGTCTCAGGCAAAGCACACTGACACTGGAAAAATCACGTCACGTGCATCAAAATACATATGACCAAACTTAAATGGGGCGGGCGGCTTGGAGAAAAGTTAATCAGACTGCTTGGAAACGATGTTCCCAAGTGAGGGAACTATGTCGCTGGTAACGAGAAGTTAGCAGCCAGTGCATGCTGCCAAAATCTAGGGCAAGAAACGTGCATTTTAAGCAGTCGTCTTGACTTCAAAACAGCTCAACAACTGCACGTACAGATTGGTAAAGAAATCACTTCTGAACAAACACCGAGTCCTGAAAACTAGTTTTAGAAGTACCTTTAAATGTCAGAAAGCCAGAGATTTGACTAAATAAGATTATCTAACACTCACTAAATCAGTTAGCTCCTAAATTTGTTTCAAAATTAAGCAATGGCTAGTAATTTTGGAAGTAATGATCCTAGATGTTTGCACTCCAGTAAACATAATAAACTGAATAAATCTAAATTAGCATACGGTACTAAATCAAAATTACATTAAAATCACAATAAAAGTAAGTAAATGAAAATTCTGTCAGTATGTACAATCCAGAAACAAACCACTGCAAAACACACGTAAAACAAACAATAATCGGGTATGGATTGTGAAGAGACTGTTCTGTAGCTAGCCAAAATTACTAAGGACAATCTCTGCCCTTTAGTAGACAGGGGCGGAAACACAGTGACAAAGGATGAGGAAAAGGCTGAGGTACTTAACACCTTCTTTGCCTCAGTTTTTAACAGCAAGACAGTTGTTCCCCGAGTACCCTGTGGTAGTAGACAGAGGTGGGGAGCAGAATGAAGCCCCCATAACCCATGGGGAAATGGTGAGTGACCTGCTTTAGCACCCAGACATACGCAAGTCTATGGGGCCAGATGGGATCCACCCGACAGTACCGAGGGTGCTGGCGGATGTGCTCACCAAGCCACTTTCCATCATTTATGAGCAGTCCTGGCTAAATGGGGAAGTCCCAGCTGACTGGAGGTCAGCAGATGTGATGCCCACAACAAGAAGGGCCAGAAGGAGGATCCAGGGAACTACAGGCCAGTCAGTCTGACCTTGGTGCTAGGGAAGCTTATGGAGCAGATCATCCCGAGAGCCATTATGCAGCACATGCAGGAAAACCAGGTGATCAGGCCCAGTCAGCGTGGGTTCATGAAAGGCAGGTCCTGCTTGACAGACCTCATCTCCTTCTACGACAATGTGACCCGCTTCTTGGATGAGGGAAAAGCTGTCGATGTTGTTTACCTGGACTTCCGTAAAGCCTCCAACACTGTTTCCCCCAGCATTCTCCTGGAATGGGGAAGTCCCAGCTGACTGGAGGTCAGCAGATGTGATGCCCACAACAAGAAGGGCCAGAAGGAGGATCCAGGGAACTACAGGCCAGTCAGTCTGACCTTGGTGCTAGGGAAGCTTATGGAGCAGATCATCCCGAGTGCCATTATGCAGCACATGCAGGAAAACCAGGTGATCAGGCCCAGTCAGCATGGGTTCATGAAAGGCAGGTCCTGCTTGACAGACCTCATCTCCTTCTACGACAATGTGACCCGCTTCTTGGATGAGGGAAAAGCTGTCGATGTTGTTTACCTGGACTTCCGTAAAGCCTCCAACACTGTTTCCCCCAGCATTCTCCTGGAGAAACTGGCTGCTCATGGCTTGGATGGGTGTACACTTCGCTGGGTAAAATCTATCTGGATGGCCGGGCCCAGAGAGTGGTGGTGAATGGAGTTAAATCCAGTTGGCAGCTGGTCACGAGTGGTGTTCCCCAGGGCTCAGTACTGGGGCTGGTTCTCTTTAATATCTTTATCAATGACCTGGACAAGGGGATTGAGTGCACCCTCAGTAAGTTTGCAGATGTCACCAAGTCGGGTGGGAGTGTCAACCTGCTTGATGGTAGGATGGCTGTACAGAGGGATCTGGACAGGCTGGATCAATAGGCTGAGGCCAATGGCATGAGGTTCAACACGGCCAAGTGCCGGGTCCTGCACTTGGGTCACAACAACCCCATGCAACGCTACAGGCCTGGGGAAGGGTGGCTGGAAAGCTTCCCGGGGGAAAAGGACCTGGGGGTGTTGGTTGACAGCTGGGTGAATATGAGCCAGCGGTGTGCCCAGGTGGCCAAGAAGGCCAACAGCATCCTGGCCTGTATCAGAAATAGTGTGGTGAGCAGTACTAGGGAAGTGATTGTTCCCCTGTACTCTGGGCACTGGTGAGGCCCCACCTCAAGTACTGTGTTCAGGTTTGGGCCCCTCACTACAAGAAAGACATAGAGGTGTTGAAACACATCCAGAGAAGGGCAATGAAGCTGGTCAGGGGTCTAGAGCACAAGTCTTATGAGGAGCAGCTGAGGGAACTGGGGTTGTTTAGCCTGGAGAAAAGGAGGCTGAGGGGAAACTTTATCACTCTCTACAACTACCTGAAAGGTAGAGAGTTGGGGCTCGACCTCTTCTCACTAGTTACAAGTGACAGGACAAGACAAAATGGCTTCAAGTTACGCCAGGGGAGGTTAAGGATGGATATTAGAGAGAGTTGGGGCTCGACCTCTTCTCACTAGTTACAAGTGACAGGACAAGACAAAATGGCTTCAAGTTACGCCAGGGGAGGTTAAGGATGGATATTAGGAAAAAGTTCTTCACGGACAGGGTTATCAAACATCAGAACAGGCTGCCCAGGGAAGTGGTGGAGTCGCCATCCCTGGAGGTATCTAAAAGACGGGTAGACGTGGTACTTAGGGACATGGTTTAGTGGTGGTTTTGGCATTAGTTGATGGTTGGACTTGATGATCTTAAAGGTCCCCTCCAACCTAGACAACTCTATGATTCCCCAAACTTTGCAGTACTTCCTGGTGTTTGGCTGACTTCCAGGAATTCCAAGCTGTCCCCTTTTGTTGGCATCATGCTCCATATCTACACAACGCATAACTTGAAATTACTGGTACATTCAATGCTTTCAAAATTCCAGTTTGAGAACAAAATATCAGCAATAACAACCCTGGCCTTACCTGCAGGATCTTGTACTGTCATTTCCTTACGTTTCATCATCAGCTTGTCTTTAACCCATGGGAACTCCTGTAAGGAATCCAAGAACGCATCAAAAGCCTTGGGTCCTCTGGTGGGGAGAATATCAAGGAGCATCATGGTTTTCCTCTGACTGGTAGTTTGGGATTTTATTTCTTGAACATGACTGTCCGTGAGAATCCCTTCTTGGTAGAGATACTGAATAACAACTCCATCCACCAGCACCTCTGTGCAGAGCTCCAGGCGCAGGGAGCGTAAAAGCTGCTTGTCTCTGGCATCCATCTGGCAACCTAGAGCGTGAGAAAAGGAGTTAAGGAAATGTGTGAAGATTAAAATACTTCAACCTTTAACGTCCAGAAATGATGTTTGATACTTGGCAATCTTTAGAAAGAATGCCAAACTCAGAATCACCAACCTGGGAAAACTATTAATGATCCCCACCATCTTCTTTCCGCTCAGATTTCACTGTCTCACGAGCTAAAATGCAGCCATATCTGGGAAATATTAGACAGGAACAGAACCTTTGGCACTGCGAAGACCAGTCCTTTGCTGGAATAAAAAACATGCCAAATAATCCCACTTACAAACTGGTCAAGGTCCATGCTAAAGGCAGCTAGAGCATTTGCTAGTCCTCAAGAGACTCTACCCCCAAAAAGTTAGAGAGATGTCACGCCTGACCTCTGTTACCAATGCCACTGATACTATTGCTGTCGCAGCACTTTTGCTGCAGTAGTGCAAAAGCAGCAGCAGAACTGGTAGACACAGAACAGACAGGCAGCAGTGGCAGAGACAGAGTCAGCAGGTAGCTTTGGCCTACATGATGCATTTTAATTTTAGAAGGGGTAGAAATGTACCTTATGCACCAGGTCGTTCTTCCCCCTGACTCATCCTGGAAGGCTGCTCTGGAACTTGACTGATCTGATGATGAGAAACTTTCTTCAAATTTCCATCTCAAATTTATCTACCTTCTATTTATAGGCATTTGTTGTGCCAAAACTGATCTTTAGCTTAAGTAGCTCTTTTCCTTCCCTGGTATTTACCCTTCTAATATGTTCACAGGAAGCAATCGCATGCCCTCTGCCAGCTTTCATTTCACTTGACTAATACTCTGACTAGACAAAAGCTGGAAATGATGCATTTTATAGCCACTCCACAAAAGAGGAATCAAGGTCCAGAGAGACCAAGCAACTCATCCAAGATCATATCGGGAGTCCGTGCCAGACCTATGAACCGAATCAAGATGTCTAGTCTAGTCCTTAATGACAAACATATCCCTGGGCCCATTAACGGCACTTGAAAAGGAAAATGACAGAGTAATACAATTAAATACTGTCTCATGACTAAATAGTGAAGTCAAAAATCTGCAGCAGGTGTTGAGTGTAATTACCAAGAGAGTTTCTGATAATTAAACTAGAAGCTGCTGTTTGAACAGCTAGACCTTGCAGAAATTGTACTTTGTTCAGTGTGAGGATACGAGGAGAGGCAGAGATTTTCAAAGCTTTTGTAAGAAACCTGCTGAAGTCGTCTACTGACTCCCAAGGTCCCATCAAAGGTTGGTTGGTTAGCCTGGTTGTTAAAATCTAGGGCAGGCAACCAACAGAACATACAGGCACGTAAACGTCATCTTGGACAAAATGCAAGAGCATAGGACCACAAGAGAGAGACTGGAAAAGCCTGTCTGTAACACCCTCTGATAGGTTTCCAAAAGTGCTTCCCCCGAGTGCTGAAAGCATTGCTGGACGGCACCTTCCCAGGAGGACTCCATCTTTCCTGGGCTACCCAGTATGCTTCTCGTACACTGAAGTGAATTTTGAGGATCCTATCTTCTATCTAAGGGTCATTTGGGAATCAAATAGCAGCTATCCCGGCACATCTCCTTAAAAAAATGCTAAGTTTGCTAAGCATAGCTCAAACATTAAACTCCATCGCAGAGTGAGATGATAGTGAAAGCAAGGAGATGGAAAAAGAGTAGGCAAGAACGAGAACTCGATTTCCCCATTTGATGTTCATCTCGGACAGGTGAAGCTGAAGGTTCTGGTCTCATCTCGGACAGGTGAAGCTGAAGGTTCTGGTCTCTAACACACACTACCTTTACACTACTGGGAGCAATCACTGGACTAAGGCAAAACCACATAAGATTCAGGCAGCAGATCCCTGCCATTTCTCCCTTCCAGGATTCCCTGACTGCCCCTGAGCTCAGGAAGTGCTTGCAGAGTTCAAGACAGGCACCCTGCAGCAGCGCTGAGGGCCTTACCTCAACCCAGGCAGAAAACTGCTTCAGATGCTACGAAGCTCTTGTGCTTCACATTGTGCATGGGCCACCGAGAGTCCCCATCTAGGAGAATCCTCGCCCATGAGCCAGATGAGGAACATCAACTTCTCCAGTCACTGTACAGCACTTGATGAGCTCCCCTTCTTCACCACCAAAGTGGTCAACACTTCTCAAAAATAAAGCCTTTTCAAACCATCTCAGTTTGCCCCTTCGTGCACTGAAAGATGCCTATCAAGCTGTGCATCTGAAGGGGGAATTTCTGCTGAAAAAGGTCTTTGGCTCATAGGCTACAGAGTGAGCACAACTGAGGTTTTAAAGCCCTTAACACCAAGGTCACTGGCCCAGTAAACTTCCAGGATGGGGTGTACCGATTTTTAAGGTCTTTTTAAAGATGAAGTATTTCTTTGTGTGCGTTTACCGTGAGAAGGAAATGTCTGAGTCGGGAACTAAGCAGCCAGATATGTAAATGTATCAGGATTTTGGTGTGTAACAGTGTAGGGACGGAGTTTAGTGCAACATAGAATTAATTTAAATTCATTTTAACCGCAGCCTATATCTGGGGATCCAAAATAAGCTCTAAAATAAATTTCCTCTAGTAATGCTGGTGCTAGAGGAAAAGTAAAAAGATGAGACGACCATTTACCCAAAAGATGACATGGCTCAAACCTTCCCCATATCCTTCTAAAAATGCATCTTTTCCATTGTAGAGCCAAATTTTAAGAAAT